CAATTAAGACCGTGATGGAATACATGGTCAATTTTCGGGAGCATATTGATTCCCTTGTGAGTGGAATGCGATCCGATATTTCATCATTGCAACGTGAAGTCTCCATGTTGCGTAACGAATTACGTCAACGACATCAAACGAGTTAGGTAATTCATTATCTATGTTTCTTAACATTTACACGTTCTGAACTTTATTTTATTTTCTTTTAACAGATGTGGAACCAATCGGTCGCAGAAGATGAAGCTGACAATGAAGATGACAATGATGATGATGATGACGATGAAGCTGGCGATGAAGATGATGACGATGATGATGATGATGAAGATGATGATCCAAACAAGTATATCGTGTCTGCAACGCCGCCTTCAAGAAAACTTTTAATTTTTGATCTCAATGGTGTCCTTGCCTACATCCCAAGACTGCCGGCAGGTTTTAATTCTATTCTTTTGTATCCATTATTTTAACATATAAGCGTAGAACTTTAATCTCATTTTCTTCATGTTGTAGATGTTGTCCTCAGAAGAGGATTATTTGAATTTATGCAATTTTGTGTCGACAATTTTGTTGTTGCCCTTTGGTCTTCAAAGATGAGGTTAGAACATGTTTGAGGCAATTGAATTACTGTAGTCAAAATCGTTAATATACATTTGAATGTTAACATTCAAACTTGATTACAATCTCAGGCATAACGTCGACCGTGTACTTGAGAAACTACCTGTATTTTCCGAGCATTTTCTATTCGTGTGGGTAAGATGAATGTCATTACAGTTTGCTGACTTTTCCTTGTCTATGATTCCTACATATTTATGTTCGACTGTTTGTGAACAGGATCAAAAAATGCAAAACATACGATTCTGTTACCTATTGTAAAGATCTCATGATGTTTGGAACGCGTGTCCAGATTTTAACGAGCTAAATACACTTTTGGTCGATGATTCAGCGGAAAAAATGATTATAATCCGGTAGGTTGCATTTATGCAATATGTTTCTGATCAGTTGAACAGGTGTTCAGACATTGATTATTTTAACAACTTATGTGTTTATATAGAAATACAATACATATGTCCACGTACCTTTGACGCTGCTTCCCATTCGAACGACAAAGCTCTAGGTATGACACAAATTTATTCATGCTTATGCGAATTTAATTTATTGTTAGTAAAATTGCACCTCATTAGTTTGATAATTGAAATTATTTATGTATGTCCTCAGAAAAAGGCGGAAACATACGAGAGTATTTGGAAAATTTGTTGAAGGCCTCTAATGTTCCGGACTTCGTTAGAAACAACCCTTTTTCATCGGATTAATTTTGTTTGTCGGTACATTATTTGAACATTCTTGTGTATTTAAATTTTGGTGTGATTATATTGTATGTATATTTTCATTAATTATTCCATATTTGCTTCTATGTGTACATATACATTTGAGTGTCTATACTTTTTAATATATTGTAAAGTATCTATCCTTTTTATAAAAGTGTCTATACTTTTTTCACTGTGGAAAACATTAATTTAAGGTTATCTTTTGAGTGAGTTTTAAGATATTAATTTAGTAATTATAGGCGTCTAATGATTAATTTTTACGTTACGGTATATATTATTGTTAATTAAAAATTCTTAATATTATTTTATAAAATATCAACACAATCAACTAATTTTTTGTGCAAATGAAATTATTAAATTAATATTGTAGGTGGAAACATGAAACATACTTAAAAAATTGAAACATAAATTACATATCTTAAAAAAAGTATCGATCCTTTTTATAAAAAGTATGGACACTTTTTACAAAAGTGTCGACATTTTACACATCGGAACCCATAATTATAATGTAATAGATAATTTTGTAATATAACCGGTATAAATATACCGGTCTTATGCGCGAATAGGTCTACAACCTATATCGACACTTTTTAATATTGTGTCGGTACTTTATATCCATATTGGAAGAAAAATGTGTCGATACGATTTAAAAAAGTGTCGACATTTTACACATCGGAACCCATAATTATAATGTAATAGATAATTTTGTAATATAACCGGTATAAATATACCGGTTTTATGCGCGAATAGGTCTACAACCTATATCGACACTTTTTAATATTGTGTCGGTACTTTATATCCATATTGGAAGAAAAATGTGTCGATACGATTTAAAAAAGTGTCGACATTTTACACATCGGAACCCATAATTATAATGTAATAGATAATTTTGTAATATAACCGGTATAAATATACCGGTTTTATGCGCGAATAGGTCTACAACCTATATCGACACTTTTTAATATTGTGTCGGTACTTTATGTCCATATTGGAAGAAAAATGTGTCGATACGATTTAAAAAAGTGTCGACATTTTACACATCGGAACCCATAATTATAATGTAATAGATAATTTTGTAATATAACCGGTATAAATATACCGGTTTTATGAGCGAATAGGTCTACAACCTATATCGACACTTTATAATATTGTGTCGGTACTTTATGTCCATACCATTTAAAAAAGTGTCGGTAATTTGAAGTAACGCGGTTTTTCTTCCTTCATTCAAAATATTTATATGTACATACAATAGGAGTGATGTTGATACTTACGATATATTATATGGAGATCGTTGTCATTCCATTCCGTCTTCGAAAAAATCAGTTGATGTAGGCTGTGTGCTTGTACTCAAACTAAGCTTGACTTGAGGACATGTTAGTTTGTTATGCCCCTCACCGTTGCAGTACCCACATTGTCTACATCAGTATTATCCATGGCAAAAATTTTGTTGTGCAAGTTCAGTGCTCCAGGAGTTGATGGATATGTAAACGAAGGTTCATTTTGAACATGTTTCTGTAGTTAAAGGGTGGGTACAACATTAAATTCGCAGTACATATTTAGGTATGTACAATAACTACAAGTATATTATCATTTTAAATTCGCAGTACACTGTTAAAAAAATTGAAACATAAATTACATAAGTTTTAAAAAAAGTATCGATCCTTTTTATAAAAAGTATGGACACTTTCAATATAATAGGTAAACATATGATGTAATAGGTAGCCCTTATATAATGTAATAGGTAATGGTTATATTGTAAAGTGTCTATCCTTTTTATAAAAGTGTCCATACTTTTTTCACTGTGGAAAACATTAATTTAAGGTTATCTTTTGAGTGAGTTTTAAGATATTAATTTAGTAATTATAGGCGTCTAATGATTTATTTTTTACGTTACGGTATATATTATTATTAAATTTAAAATTCTAAATAATATTTTATAAAATATCAAAACAATCAAATAATTTTTTGTGCAAATGAAATTATTAAATCAATATTGTAGGTGGAAAACATGAAACATACTTAAAAAATATTGAAACATAAATTACATATCTTTAAAAAAAGTATCGATCCTTTTTATAAAAAGTATGGACACTTTCAATATAATAGGTAAACATATATGTAATAGGTAGCCCTTATATAATGTAATAGGTAATGGTTTATTGTAAAGTGTCTATCCTTTTTATAAAAGTGTCCATACTTTTTTCACTGTGGAAAACATTAATTTAAGGTTATCTTTTGAGTGAGTTTTAAGATATTAATTTAGTATTATAGGCGTCTAATGATTTATTTTTTACGTTACGGTATATTATTATTAAATTTAAAATTCTAAATAATATTTTATAAAATATCAAAACAATCAAATAATTTTTTGTGCAAATGAAATTATTAAATCAATATTGTAGGTGGAAAACATGAAACATACTTAAAAAATATTGAAACATAAATTACATATCTTTAAAAAAGTATCGATCCTTTTTATAAAAAGTATGGACACTTTCAATATAATAGGTAAACATATGATGTAATAGGTAGCCCTTATATAATGTAATAGGTAATGGTTATATTGTAAAGTGTCTATCCTTTTTATAAAAGTGTCCATACTTTTTTCACTGTGGAAAACATTAATTTAAGGTTATCTTTTGAGTGAGTTTTAAGATATTAATTTAGTAATTATAGGCGTCTAATGATTTATTTTTTACGTTACGGTATATATTATTATTAAATTTAAAATTCTAAATAATATTTTATAAAATATCAAAACAATCAAATAATTTTTTGTGCAAATGAAATTATTAAATCAATATTGTAGGTGGAAAACATGAAACATACTTAAAAAATATTGAAACATAAATTACATATCTTTAAAAAAGTATCGATCCTTTTTATAAAAAGTATGGACACTTTCAATATAATAGGTAAACATATGATGTAATAGGTAGCCCTATATAATGTAATAGGTAATGGTTATATTGTAAAGTGTCTATCCTTTTTATAAAAGTGTCCATACTTTTTTCACTGTGGAAAACATTAATTTAAGGTTATCTTTTGAGTGAGTTTTAAGATATTAATTTAGTAATTATAGGCGTCTAATGATTTATTTTTTACGTTACGGTATATATTATTAAATTTAAAATTCTAAATAATATTTATAAAATATCAAAACAATCAAATAATTTTTTGTGCAAATGAAATTATTAAATCAATATTGTAGGTGGAAAACATGAAACACTGTTAAAGTATCGATCCTTTTTATAAAAAGTATGGACACTTTCAATATAATATAATGTAATAGGTAAATTTGCAATGCTATCGGTATAAATATACTGGTTTACTTATAAAATAGGTAAATATAAGCGCTACCTATTACATTATATAAGCGCTACCTAGTATGTTATTGTACTTTATAATATTTCCGGTTAAATAATATAACATAACCGGTCTAAATTTTAACCGGTCACTTGTTTAACCGGTCACGCCGTATATTAGCCGTTTTTTAGGCGCCGCACCGCAGAACGACCCGATCAAGTTAAATTAATTAGAATCAAACTTTTACCATTCGAATTTAAACTGCTCAGCACCACTCCTCCTTCCCGCATTTAATCGAAACCCTCCGTTCATTAATCATTTATATTCCGCCTCGTCTTTACCAACGACCGCTTCATAGTTATACCACTTTATCGTCTCTCCCTCCCTCTCTCTCTCTCTTTTAATTTTTTTAAATTAATTTTTTGAAATTTCTTTTTGCGTCTTTCTTTAAGCAAACGAGAACAGCTTGAAACCCAAGTTCATCGGATTCGTTTTATTCTTTTCTTACTACGGCCGAACTTCTCGCTTAAGGCCACCGATTTTCCTCAAAACGGTAATGTTTTGAACTGTCATTATGTAACCGCCTCCGCCATATTGTTCGAGAACATGAAAAGTGTAACTGCAACCGCAGTCCTCCGTCGCCGCATCTTCTTCTCTCGACGCCGGAATCTTCCAATTCTTTCATTTTGTTAGAAGGAAAAAAACCGAAAGAGTCGCCTTATGCATCCTTTTTGTTGTGTTTCCACCGTACCGGAATGTTCACCGGTCAAACCATTAGCCGATCAAGTCATCACCATGGCACCTCCTCCTGTAACAACTACTTCCTCTTCGGCTCCCGCCTCCAGATCCAACTCGGCCCGGTCCACGGCTCAAATCCAGTGCCACTCCGATCAAAACCATCATCGTAGTAGTAGCGTTGATTTGAATCGGTTGGTCCAGAGGAATGGAATACCATCGGGAAGAGAGGGTGCGACAGCCACGGCTCCGCCGCCGCAAGTAGATGTTAAGATAAACGACATCGTAGGAAACGGGATATCGGGTGTGCTTTACAAATGGGTGAACTACGGGAAAGGTTGGAGATCGAGATGGTTCGTTTTGCAAGATGGGGTTTTATCGTATTATAAAATCCACGGCCCTGATAAGATCCTCGTTAACCAAGAAACAGAAAAAGGTTCCAAAGTTATCGGCGATGAGTCTCTCCGTATTATCTCCCGCCATCGTAATTCCATTTCTAACCATTCCGCAACCCATCGCAAACCCTTCGGTGAAGTTCACTTAAAGGTGATTGACTAAAAGAACAGATGAATAAAATAGAAGGGGAAGAGAAACAAAATTTGATTTGGTTTTGAATTCTTAAATATTTCTCAGGTTTCTTCGATCAGGGAAAGCAGATCAGATGATAAGAGATTCTCCATCTTCACCGGAACAAAGAGGCTTCATTTAAGAGCCGAGACGCGTGAGGATCGGGTTGCGTGGATGGAGGCACTTCAGGCAGTTAAGGATATGTTCCCTAGGATGTCGAATAGTGAGCTAATGGCTCCGATGGACAATGTGGTGGTCTCGGTGGAGAAGTTAAGGAAACGGTTGATGCGGGATGGTGTAAGCGAACCGGCTATCCAAGATTGCGAGCAGATTATGAGGAGTGAGTTTGCGGAATTGCAGAAGCAGCTAATATTGCTTAAACAGAAACAGTGGCTTCTAATCGACACCTTGCGTCAGTTGGAGGTACATGTTATCGAAGTTAGATAATGATATGCTACTGCCAGTAGTCACTTAATTTGAAAAAAAATGATCAATTGTTTGCAAACTAATACGTCGCTATTCTGTTGTTTTATTCTTCTTTTAGGATGTTTTTGTGTTTTTCGTGAGTGGCTTCATTGAATTTCAGATGGTGGAAGGTTACTTGATTAACAAATTTTTCGTCTTTATTCCTTTCCAACGTAACAAACAAAACCTTAATTTCATCCTATTGATATGGAAAAACAGTTGGTCTACAGCTAGTTTACTATGTTTAAGCATCTTCCCTTAATTTTGATTTTTTTTCACTTTTTCTTATTTTCCTTTTTTTTGCAATTGCACATATATATGTATGATTTTTAGGATGGATGAGGGTAATTTTTTTCTCTAACTATAGTAATCTTGAATGCCAGCTTCAATTAGACAACTATTTTTACGTGAAGGAATGCTTTTAGTTTTTTAAATGCAAAAAAGTTTTAGTTTACCCACTTAATTCCCGTTAAGCCAAATTTAATTTTCGAAGCCTCTCTGCTGATACCCTTGTTCTTGTATGTAGCTAGAAATGCTACCCGGGAATACTCTGTGTCAGTTAAGTTGGGAAGTGTCCAATCTAATAAGTCTATGTCTTTTTGAGGAAGTACTTAAATATTGTTGGTAGTGTGGTTGGTTCAAGGTACAACAGTTGTCGGTAGTGTTGAGACATTTCTTGTGGGTCTTGTAGCAATCTTAATTATGAGATTGATGGCAGTGACAGCAGCATTCGTGTTCGTGGTTGGATCAATGATACTTTGGGCTCTTGTCTTGGCACAGTTGATATTCTGTGATTACAAGTAATCATTCTTCTGATCAAATGGCATTAAGTACACTTTAAATGTTAATTCTCCCATTTATTGGTATATTATGGGGGGAAGGGGAGATAGGTTGGAGTTCCCCTCATTTATGGAGTTTCCTTTTCATGTGCTTATACTTTGAGAATGTCAACGTGTACAAAATATAGTCACCGATGGGAAGTAACATACGTGCATAACTTTATTCTCAAAGCCATCCACTTTCTTTTAAGTTATTCTAAGAATGCTTGTCTTGAACTCTGCCTTTCCTTACTGAAGTAAAGAACCTCCTTTTCTTCCCCCTCTTTGAACTTGGTGTGCTTTTCAAATTAATTGTAGCTGACTGAATAGGGAATCCTTTTTAGTTAAGATGTCGATACCATCTTGTTCATTAGAAGATGTATTGTATCCCTTACTCCAAAAAAAAGAAAAAAAGAAAGGAGGATGTATTATAGCCCTTGTTGAATATAATATACACATTTGCTTAATTTGAAGCTGACTGACTTCAGCTCTGGCCTTCTAGTTAATTTACCCAAAGGTGCTTGTTTGTTATGAGCTTGGCATTGTGAGTAGACAAATGTCCTTTTCTACATCTACAATACTGTTCCTTTGTGGACTGTAGTTGGGGCATATGATATGCTCCATTTGCTTGCCCAAAGGGTTAAAGAACTACTTGAATTTGATATGCTCTTGAGCATGTTGAGGCATATAGGTGCTTTTGTCTTGGATTCCTTAGGTATGAAGTTATAAATTAAAATCTCAGTTGCCGTACAAGTTGCAAGGCTTATGCTACACCTTAAATTTATTGAGTTTCATTTCTCTCTCGCCCCCCTTTTCCTGTGCTGAAAATTGTTGTGTTTTGAGTATTTTTGCAGCAACATGCATGCACTAAAAGTTGCTTGGCTTCTATTTCTCAGTCAATAACTGCTTTTATCCCTAAAGATTAATTTTTGAAACATACGTTTTCCTTCTTTTTGCAATCTTCTGCTAAGAAATGGCTATTTGTACTTTTTGTAGACAGAAAAAGTTGATCTGGAGAATACGGTGGTTGATGAGAGCCAAAGCAAGTTGAATGATCAAGGGGCTTCTTCTATAAGACAAGACAAGTCTAGTGGTGAGATCTTAGGCAATAAAACTATTTATACAGATTTTGGTCTTGTAAGCTAATTTGTGCTGGACAGTCGGTAATGTGCTGAGATCTGTGATTAATTATTATGATCATTATTCACATTCTTATTAGTTCAGGAAGTTCTTTTTGTTCTATCAACTATGAGCCTGAATACTTTGTGTGGAAAACTGATAGTGCTTGTTCTGTAGAGTCATTAATTATCTAGATGGTTGCTTGGCAAACTGCACTTGTGAACTTGAATTCAAATAAAGGGCTTCCTTTTTACATTCCCAAATCCGTGCCTTGTCTTTTTTGTAGCCTGTTACTAGTTCAATTAATCAATTTAATAAGTTTGTTCTTCTTTCTATCGATTTAATGTCATTACTTTGGCTCTGTTCCTTTTCTCTAGCGTTTCCCCTACTTTTTTCTACTTCACTAAGTAAGAGATACACACCTAGATAGGCTGGAACAGACATGGTGTCCGAGATTTTCCCTTTCTTAAAAGGAGAGTATATGGCCATTAGGATTTGGGCTGTAGCCCCATACTTTCCTGTTCTGGTGATGGCTTATTTACAAATATTTATTTTGCTGATTGCTTGGTTATTAAATTGCTTAAGCTGTCTTTGTTTTCAATTTTCAACTTTATTCAAGTAATTGTTATTACTTTATTGTTTTCATGGTGTTGCTACTTACATTGAGTTTTTCTTTTGTTTTCTCTTTGTTAAAATTTTTATGCAGAAGGAAGTGTAACTGATACAGATGAGGATAATGAAAGAGTTGACGCTGCAGAAGAGGAGACTGATGAAGATGAGCATAATTTCTTTGATACTCGTGACTTTTTGTCATCAAGCTCTTTCAAAAGTAATGGATCAGATTTCCGGACGTCATCTTTCTCTTCAGATGATGGTTCTAACGCTTTTGATTCTGAAGATGATATTGATCCTTGCATTAAATCAGTGGGAAGTAACTTTCCTTACATTAAACGCCGGAAAAAGTTGCCCGACCCAGTGGAAAAAGAGAAAGGTGTTAGTCTTTGGTCAATGATTAAGGATAATATTGGGAAAGATCTCACAAAAGTTTGTCTTCCTGTATACTTCAATGAGCCTCTATCTTCTCTTCAAAAGTGTTTTGAGGATTTGGAGTTTTCATATCTGCTTGACCGTGCATATGAATGGGGGAAAAGGGTGAGTACTTATTCCAAATTATTTTGTTTTAGAGAACAGAGCATTAGGGCTATTTGAACTTTTCCTAGTATAATATTTCTCTAACACCGTATCACTTTATTTAATCTTGTTATGCACCTTTCCTTTATTTGTTTTCCCCCTCTTTTTGCTCTTTTAAACCTATTTTTATACCTAACCGGGCAAAAGGCCAGTTGCAACTTTTATAGATGCTCTGTTCATAAACTTTGACAATTTGAATCTCTACAAGAATCCGCTTAACTCATAATTTTCCCAAAAAACTGCAGGGGAATAATCTCATGAGAATTCTTAATGTAGCTGCATTTGCTGTGTCTGGATATTCTTCAACAGAAGGAAGAATTTGCAAACCCTTCAATCCATTATTAGGAGAAACATATGAAGCTGACTTCCCAGATAAAGGTTTACGCTTCTTCTCAGAGAAGGTTTGTCTGTACTTGAGATACTATTTATTCTTATTGCCTGCATTTTTTATGCATTTATGCAACATTCTGATTAAAACTTCAATGCATATTAACCTCACTTCAATGGTCAACTTTTTGACTGAAACATGTCTCTGGTTCACCTGGTCTACCCAGAGTGTTAATTTAGCTATCACATTCAATATGCTCAAAATTTCACTTTTTTTTGTTTCATACAGATGAATATTTCCCTTAAAATTTTTCTCTGTATGTTCGATGTATATTTTTTAACCTGGTTAAGACAACGATATGAAACTGCACCCACCTCACCATGCCTGTTCCAAAATTGCTGTACTTCAAGCACTTTGCAAGTTTGGTACATTATAGACTTTGTCGCATAGAAAGGTATAATGAGGATATCCTTTTCTAGCTCATCTTTCCTTGCTCTTATCTTTTGGTCAAAACTTCTCATACAAAAAATTGCAAGTTAAAAACCTTGTTCAGGATCCAAGCTTGGTGAAGCAAATAAATAAGGTAGTACAGTTTGTCGACCATAACCTCAAGAGGATATTGGTAGGTGCTTGACTATAAAAGAAGCAATTTGCTTCCTATCAGTTGGTGCAGTTAGCCACATGATCATTAAATTACTGGGAGAAGGGATACAGGAATGCGTGCCAAGGACTTTGAACCTCATAATTAAAAAAGAGTGTAGTTTTATATACAACTCAACAATAACTAGGCTGTTAATCAATAAGAGTGCTATTGGCCCTTTTTTCTGTGTTAATGCTATATATGAAGTTGCTGAGAATTAGACCATATTTGTGTCAGGTCAGTCATCATCCTATGATTGTAGCATGTCACTGTCAGGGCACAGGATGGAAATTGTGGGGCGATAGCAATTTAAAGAGTAAGTTCTGGGGTCGCTCAATTCAGCTGGATCCAGTTGGTGTTTTGACCTTGGAGTTTGACGATGGAGAAGTTTTCCAATGGAGTAAGGTATAACTCCAAAAATTAAGTAACCATTAGCTATATATTTATACATGCATAAATTGATATACTTGTTGTATCCAAATTGAAAATGGATTTACTTTTCCAGGTGACAACGTCCATATACAATCTCATCCTGGGAAAGTTGTACTGTGATCACTATGGTACCATGCGAATTGAGGGGAATTGCGAATATTCATGTAAGCTAAAATTCAAGGAGCAATCTATCATTGACAGAAATCCTCACCAGGTGATCTTTCATCACTCTCAATTTACTAAACTATATCAACGATTTGTGTTTTTATAAGATTATGATATTGTTCTATCATCCTCTTTTTAACCATATTTGACATTCATCAAAATATGTAACTTTTTTTACACTTCAGGTACATGGTATTGTTCAAGATAGGAACGGAAGGACAGTGGCTTCATTATTGGGAAAATGGGATGAGAGCATGCATTATGTGATTGGAGATTACTATGCAAAGGGAAAAGGACAAGAGTCTTTCTCAGAAACTCATACACTTTGGAAACGGAGCAAGCCCCCTAAATATCCCACCAGATGTAACTTAACAAGATTTGCCATCACTTTGAATGAGCTGACTCCCGGTCTGAAGGTATTGTTGTACTCCCACGGTGGGTGTCTCGAAATTTTACTCCTACAAAAGTTGTAATGGGGTTATGCCTATTATTCTTGAACTGATATTTAATCAGTACTCTGAAGGTCACCTCCCTTGGATCTAAACTTTTATACTTGAATTTTGGTAGATTTTTGAGTAATGAATTATTTGGTCCTAAAGATGGAATTAGATGTGTCTATTTGAATCTGTAAGAATGAAATGGAATAACTGGAAATCAATGAACTGTCTTCAAAAACCTCTGAACTGGTTTTGCTGTAATTGGGGCATTGGTTTTAATCTCCATTATGTATGCAGGAAAAGTTGCCTCCAACTGATTCAAGGCTGAGACCTGATCAAAGGTATCTGGAAACTGGGGAGTATGAGATGGCAAATTCAGAGAAGTTGCGGTTGGAGCAGCGGCAACGGCAGGTGAGTTATATTTTTCTTCATTGTAGTGAGCTCCATGTGTCAGTGGTGCATTTATTTATTTATTATTCCGATGCTGTTTTGGGTATTGAAGAGCAAAGATACTTCATGTCGTTGTCGGATTGTTTTAAAATTTGAGTTGAGAATAGAAGCTTAAAGGCATAAATGTCTGAAAGCTTTTTAAAACTGACCTGTAAATAAAATTAATGTTTAGGTAACCCTTGTTTTGTTTTTCGGATTGGTGGCTAAACAGCTGTATCTGGTTTTTCATTTGGAGTTTTTTTTTTGATTGGGATTCAGGCTAGGAAGATGCAAGAGAGCGGTTGGAAGCCAAGGTGGTTTGCAAAGGATAAAAGCAGCGACACATACCGTTACATCGGTGGATATTGGGAGGCAAGAGAGAAAGGGAAGTGGGATTCATGCCCTGACATTTTTGGCCAAATCCCTTCTGATCACCCCCTTGACTAAGTTCAAAAGCTAAAGCTGCCCTATCTTTTAATTCTTTCGTCGATTTTTTCACAACATATGGATTATGGGGGGCACCAACACCTCTAGTGCTCCAACAAGTTCGGATGACAAAAACCATGTAAGTATCTTTTAAAAAGAAAATAATAGAAGAATGAAAACATTATTTTCCCACTGCTAGTGTTCCCCGGTCTATATACGACGATTCGAGTTTGAGCGTACTAAGTATTAGGGAATATTGTAGCGGGATTGCCATTGTTGTAACAAAAGATACACAAGATTTTATCATATACATAATACAAGAAGAAATTCTTAAACTCCTTAACTAAAGAGCGGTGGTTGTTCTAATAATTATGGTCTCCACGCATACATGCTGGTTTTATATTAAAATTATAAATAGCATATCCATTATATGCATCTTTTGTATGCTCTGTAATAATGATTATACCTTCTTTTTAGACTCTTGTTTGTTCTTGCTGTTTCCATTCTCGATTTGGTTCTGTCATCCTCGTGTTCGTTTATCGATAGATTGAAACAAACTGTATGATGTCAATCGAGAATTAGTTTTTGAATGGGGAATGAAAAGGGAAGAAGGAATTGACCGAAATAGTCGAGAAAAGATGTCCTAGATCGATGTCTAAGCAAGTGAACATGTACCAGTTCAAAGGGTGATCGATTGAAAGGAATTAATTTTTTCTTTTTTAAGGGTTTATTAAGGGTGTAATCATGAAATGGACGTTATTTTTGTTGTTAATATATCATTTTCAGATTTGTACACTCAAACAAGAGGAGTGGAATTTATCTGGTGGCCTCAACGGTAAAGGTGGCCTCAATGGTAAAGGTGGCCTCAACGGTAAAAGTAAATATTGATCTGCTTAGAGATTCAGGGTCCGAGTAGTGATATTTACAAGCGGTAAAAGTAAATGTTTTACAAGCGGTAAAAGTAAATGTTGATCTGCTCAGAGATTCAGGATCCGAGTAGTGATATTTACAAGCGGTAAAAGTTAATGTTGATTTGCTTAGAGATTTGAGATTCGAGTAGTGATATTTACAAGATGTGTATGCATTGTTAATAGATGTCAAAGAAGAGACGATGATGAGAAACTCATCAAGTTCAATTTATTAAGGATTTGATAATTTGACCTTTTCCGTTTACCCCACTAATTATTATTAGCTTCACCAAGCTGATGTTTACAAATCATCATTGTCGAAAATATAGTCTAAATTATTGTCATTAATTTCATTCTCCTCAAGAATACGTAGGCTAGTATCCTATATACGATGATCATCGCTATCATAGTACCGACTTCCATGCCATCCCAATCGAGTATCAGCCCTTTGAAAGGAGACATACAAGATGAACCCGATTCCGCACATGAACTGGCCGTCGAGCAACCGTCGTGAATCTTGAGTAGCAGCCTGTATGTATGATACGTAAATGAGATGTATCGTACCCATGACATAAACACCGGAACTTTCTGCAGCCAAAACTATCAAAGTTCAGAATCTGATAAGCATTGCAAACTTGACTGAGCTATCCCTAATCCTTTTGTGGTTACTTTCGTCCCAAGAAACAACATTATCGAACTTGAGTCCGGGAAGCAAACCTGGATAAAGAATCCACCAGATAACATGGAAGTCATTATTGCAATAGAAGCTAAAGTTGAGGTTTTTTTCACATCCATGAAGGCTGCTCCTATAGTAAGGCCAAGGCCCTGCAATTTTCAGACAAAAACTCATCGCTACAGCATCTAGAATGAAATTTTGTTTTAGAAAGTAATTGATGTTTGATTATTACCTGGGAAGCAACAACACTTAAGAAAACAGCAAGTGTTGTGAACGAAAATGCCGTAAATGTTGGCTTCAAGCCTGCCATGAGATAGATAATCACAAGGAACACTAAAGGCAAAATGAGATCCAAAGGAAGATCACTAGTCATTCTGGCTAACAAATAGGCACTGAGTCTATACATTCCCACTGATCTTTCCTTAGCTAGCATCACTCTCTCTTGAGGGAATGCGATAATGGCAGTAAACATCGGAAAGAATGCCCAAAACACTGAAATGAAGAATAAAAAGCCTGCCTGCAACCATTTTTAATAACAACATCAAACAAATATATTACGGGATCGAACTAAAAAAAACTAGGTAACTGATAGTTTGCCTGATCCTGAAGTCCCTTAGGAGAGGAAGCATCAGAGCGCCACCAAAGTAAACCCATCGTTATAGCAGCCGAAAGAACTTGCATTACATGCATGCAGCTGAAGTATTCATGGCGTCTTTCCTTAAGGCCCCTTCGGAAAAGAATCGAGAACTGATCCCACCATGTTGCTCCCCATTCCATTGCGTTCGACCTTTTCTTCATCACAGGTTCAGCATCTATCAGTAGGGGATTTATCAGCTTTGTCTTCTCCGACTTTGCTTCCTTCACTGCATGGGCTTCCACCAGATACTGCAATAGAGAAAACTTTGGCATAAGTGAGATGATTTAAAGGTATCTAAACAGAACTTCATTTCGGGCATTCAGTTTTGACCTCATAGACATCAACATGGCAAGGCTCTCCATGTTTCATATCAAGACTTTTGTTCCTGGGTGAAAACTTTCCCTCCAAATCTGATGGAACTGACTTGTCTTTTATGTCCCCATTAGCCAAATCAATAAGAAACTCTGCAGGGTTCATGGCTATGAGTGGAGTGCAGCCGATAGAAGAGAAATAAAGCATGGCGTCCGAGGCCTTTCCAAAGTACAAGGAGCTGCCTTTACCCAAGAGAATCAGCTTGTCGAACTTACTAAATAATCTACTAGAAGGCTGATGTATTGTAGTCACCACCGTCTTGCCAGACTACAAGTCACAAGTAAAATAAGCACTTAGTTACACCCTACAATGTATTGCAGTTCTTCTTAAGCAAGTATTTTAAGTACCCAGGCAATGTTTCTTAACATCTGAACTATTTGAAGAGCGGTTGTTGAATCTAAACCTGATGTCGGTTCGTCCAATAATAGAAGTGATGGATTAAGAAGAATTTCACTGGCAATACACGCCCTTTTTCTTTCACCTCCAGAAACTCCCCTAAAAAATGTCCCACCGATCACTGTATTTTGGCACCTGCAAAAGAAATGCAATCAGTATCTTGCTTTGCAATCTAAGTAGTTACTTACAGTAGACGTTACTGCATTAGTCAATTCCACCAACACTGTCACTATGTATGTGGCTGACACTAGTTTTATAAGGCCCAAAATTTATCATTTTAACAACTAATCACTTTCAAGTTCGAGTCACAAAAATGCATATGAAGAAAGCACCTTTCGAGGCCTAGCTCGGTAATGACACTAGTTGCCCTTTCCTTCTTCTGCTCCATGGTTAAGGTATACGGGAGACGGAGCAGAGCTGCATAGGTTAGAGTTTCCTTGACTGTAAGATGAGGAAACGAGACGTCGTCTTGCATTACAAAACCGATCCTGTTGCGTGCACATAGATCGATGAGTACTAGTTAAATTAGAATTAAACAACATAGTTATGCCTGTATTGCTGTATATGCACCTCCATTTCAGTGACTTGGAATATGTTTGATTATTGTCGGTAACGGTACTACTGTGGAACTTCATTCTTCCACCAAGTAAATTGAGAAGAGTTGTTTTCCCCCCTCCCGATGGTCCCATCAGTGCAAGAACCTCTCCTGGATGTACCAAACCAGTTATTCCATGAAGTATGTACTTGTTTGCATCCGAGTTCTTTTCGCCTTTAACTGGTATCTTATACGTAACATCTTCAAACTGCATCAAAGTGAGAAAACAATCATCCATTTTCATAGTACAATGGACGATACAAAATATGGTATACCGTGCACGATCGTTGTGTTACCTTTAGACATATTCGTAACGTAGGCTCAAACTGTAACTTCTCCCAAGTGCATGATTCTGAGTCTTCAGCATCTAACTGCGACTGACTTGTTGGATTATCTCCTGTATGACAGAGAGAACATGAAAACCTAGGCTTATAGGACCAAGAAATTATTGTTGTATTCTCACTTTTACCGCTAATAGGTTGAATTGAGACATCTGGGATATCATCTGAGGAGAAGGGGACTTCAGCTTTACCATGTAAGATAGATAAGTCTGTATAATTGCCGGAAACTACCGGACAAACGGAATCGATCTCATCGAAGCTCTCAGCAGCAGTACACTCGGCGTTCACCAAGAATCCGGTGCTCGATGACTCGGTTTGGCTCGTTGTTTTCTCGAATGGTAGTTCCGATTTTTCATCAGAGTTATGCTTATTCATCCCTTCTTGTATGCTATCTCCAGCATATTCCATCAGCTTTAGGATCTGATTGCAAATGGGAAATGGATCATACGTTGCTCAAATTAAGCTAAACTGTACTAAATGTTTACGACAAAACAGAAAATTCGAGTGAATGTAAGCAAATTACCTGAGAAAAATGGGAATGAAAGGCAAAAAGAGAATGAAATCGGGAGAGAAAGTGACAATGTGTGATTTAGTTGATTAGATGGTGGAATGGGACTATGGGAGAATGTTAAGTAATCCCGAAGATTATATAGGCAAAAAAAAAACATGTAAATGTTTTGTGTTACGGAACTCATGAAGCTGTCCCAAACAATGACAGTTGCAAGACACAGAGAACTGTCTACTGTTTAATTTCCTCGTTACAATGGCGAAAAGACCAATCATCATCTGGAGTGACGTATTATGAAAATGAAATAAAAAATCACCCTCGACCCCGTATTCAGAAAACAACGAAACATGAATTAAACGACCTCAATAATCAAGAGATTATTGATATTTCTTAAGATTTTGAGTTCGAGCACGACTTCTGCAGGACTATATGAAGTTCATTGTTAAATGATTGAAAAATTTTCTAATTAGATGCTACTTTATATTCATCACGGTAAAAGGTTAAATATAAATAACAAAATCAATAGAAAATTTCTCATTCTTATCTACAAGAAAGAAAGCAACTCAAACAACCATTTTTATCTTGAGAAACAAAGAACTTCTACATTTTAATAAAAATCTATGAGAGTGCTGCCTGTTTTTCCCTATCTCTATCATGCTATTATTATGTAACACCTCTTTCTCGTACCTTTAACCAAATACGAATCAGAGATGTCACATAATATTTATAAAACCATAATTATTTAAAAATCGGTAAAACTTTGTTTCTTTAAAATTAATCAACTAAAACTTAATTAATAAAAAATTGTTTATTCGCTTAAAATTAAAAAGTAATATTTTAACATTCAAATCAAATCCGATTTTAGACAGCAACTTAACAGTTCAATACTGTTTCATATGTTTCGCTCAAAAACTGCCTAAGTAAAAATTTATTTTTATGCTAGAAAATATAAATTTATCGAATTTATGAAAATAAAATCCATATTTATAACTATATATTACTTACTAAATATGACACATATAAACTATTACAAACCATTTAAACTTTATAGACATAGCAGAGCATTTCCAATTCATTTTAAATTTAGCCATATTATATTACTACGAACATTTATTACACGTATACATATTACATGCCAACTAGAAAATCAAAATAATAGTAAAATGTTATTACTGATACTGGTAAATAGTATTCGATGATTGATGCCAAACTAAGCTCTTTACTCCACTAACTTTCTTTTACCTACTTGTGAAAATCATCTCACGCTAAATATACACTTGATGAGATATTTTATAACTTTTAAAATAAATAAAATTTACTTTCAAACCATTTTCCTCGTACTGTAACATGGAAATCAATAAATCAGATTTACAACATCTTATATCAAAACAGAGTATTTGATGAAAGATTTACTTTTAACGAATCAATTAAACATGTACTTTTTATTTTCATTGAATTCATATGCCCAATGTATAATATATGAAAATGCAAGTTACGTGAGTCTCGCCAAGTTACGCGAGTCTCGCCGAGTGTGCGTAATATGCACTCGAAAGTGTCTCATAGATAAATTGCACTAAAATTGCATCGTAGATATACTATAAAACACAATACAACTGTACCAATAATCAAGAATACATTGCACCATATATTATTTTTGTGCAAACACCATGTATTATTTTGTGCCACATAATATCTCCTGGAAGTACGTTATATACCATGTACTATTTTGTGCTACGTACTAATATTGTAATCAGTAATTATTTCACCTCTTGGCGTGCCGATTGTACCTACGACTTTCAATATGCATACAATGGAATTTTCTTATAAATTTGGCTATTCATTTATCAAAAGTATCTACATATACGAACATATCAAAATATCATATACAAATGCATTGAGCAGTTCATACCCAAAATCATTCATATACCATTTAATAAAATATCATATAAAAATGTATTGACAATTCATACCCAAAATTATCTGAATACCATTTTGTAAAACAATATGAAAATAAATCGAATTTTGATTTAAATATTTTTCTTTCCAAATCATTCGAATCATCGCAAGTGTTCCTCATATATATATATATATATATATATATATAATAAGTAAGAATGCACTCACTTGGTATACTTAGCTTGCAAACTTTATTTAACGATATAAGCCTCATTTTTTGTACTTTTTCCTCGGCTTTTAGCTTGTTTTGTTCTCGATTTCGATCACAAGCTTCATTTACAAAACATATACATTTTAATGCATAAATTAGTATCTTACTAACATAGATGTACATTAGCATATAAATTCTAAAAATCCTTCCGATATTCATTCTATACTAATTTCACTTCATAACATTAATGTCAACCTTAACACTTCAAAATACAACTTCAATTCTGTCAATCTTCAATTCAATAAATAAATCACACAATCATTTCCAATTTCACAAATTAATCAGTGAAATGAATTCTTTTAGAATTCATCTCAATATTTCAACATTATTTAAAATAGTCACTTGCCATTAAAATTTAAATTCGAGCACATAATATCATATTTGAGCATTTCAACAATGCATTCAAGCTTAGTATCAAATTTTGAACAATTTCCATAATATACGAATAGGTCCTTAAATTTGTGCAAGCTTTCAAATTGGTCCAAACAACATTCTAAAGCATGTAGAATCATTCACACATCATTTTTAGCCTTGGGGAAATTTTTCCATAATTTTCTCCTAATGACGAAATATGAAAGGTTAGGGTTTACATGATTTCCTACTTCATTCAAGCATGAATTCAACCTCTAAACATCATTTCCATGCATCTCCAATCATTCCCATCTCAGAACCCATCCAAATTCAATTTATATAAAAACCCAAGTTTTGGTCGAACCTCCATATATTCATTTCTAATGATTTCCAATCATCATACAAACATGAACATGATTCTACAACATCAACAACATCAAAATATAATTTCAAATAGTGAAAACCTAATACGGCCTCCATCTACCCAATTCATGAACTTATGATTTTAAGCATGAAAAACATGAATAATTGATACTAAATTATAGAGAATTTAGTTGCTTTATCTATATAGTACCATACTAGGGCATGCACAAATTTTGTCATATATGATTTTGTTAATGTCCATTGATCATACCCTAATTTGTAAGATAGGCGTCCAATAAGCAAGGGCTACCGAAAGGTACAACAAAAGCAAAGTTAAAAAGATTCCGATATGACTTATGAGATCCAACCGATGTGACATATTTTATTTAATTTATCTTAGTGATTAAAAGAATTATTATTGTTCTTAAAGATTATATGTTCGAGCATATATGACTGTAATAGGGTGATAGATCATTCATTGTCATATAATTAAGAGTATTTAGAATATATATTATTTTATAATCATTTTGACTTAATAAAAAATTACGTAGAGAGAGAGAAAAAATCAGTTTTTATTATCATTCCAATCATTTTTTTTCTTTTTCTAATGGTTGAAGCAGTTTTGAATGGTTCAAAGTTTATCTAGTTGTACACATCGGACCAGACTAATAGTCAATTTCTTGTTCAGTCGGGTGGTCCAATGCCATTTTTTTTTTGGATAAATCAATGCCATTTTTTATGGTTTGCTAAAGGGCCTTTCAAATTAGGTCGATCCTTAATTCAAGAACATCTCAAAAAACCATACATGCATAACAAGTAAAATGGATGGCATAAAGATGTATACATAATTTTATGTTAAGAGATGTGAATTTAAAAGAATAAAGTTATAAATTTTAAGAGTATGAAATTCGATCATCGATAAAAATATAAAAAAATACTTAAGTTATATAACGATTTAAAATTTTTGAAGATATGATTAGGGATCGATATAGGGGACGGGTGGGGCAATCTTCTCTCCATAAAAGTTTCAAATTATCATTTATTTTAATTTTTTGTATTTTTTATTGATAATCTTTTATGCCTTGAAAAATTTTATAAATCTCACTCCCTCCCAAAATTTTAGAAGTCAACCCCTAACAAAGGTGTATCCATAAATATTTTTTTAGGGTGGACACATATATTAACCACATAAAATTTTTAAATGGGGTGAGTATAAATAAAATTCAAGGTAGGCACCGACATTAACATAAGTAACTAATAGAAGAAAATTTAGATTTCAGAATAGACACCGTCAGTAAAATAAGTAACTAATAGAAAAAAATCAGATTTTAGGATCCCACCAAAGTATGGTTTCACTGCTGATCCCTAACATAAATTTTATTTCCGTCCCTAAGTACGACTTCTTGCGGAAGACGGCTATCAGATAGAGCAAAATCGCAACTGATAATTTGAGAAAATAAAAATGAAGATAAA